CACTGTTGAAGAGGTAATTAGTAACTAATAATTAATTACTTTTTTAGAGTAACTTACCCAGCACTGGTCACTAAAGCGTTGTTTTATTGTATTCTCCTGTGCTTTAAAAACAAATGTGACTAGATTTATTATAAGCACTCACTGACACAAAAAAAATTGGTGTAGAAACCATTTTTACTTACAAATTGCTAAAACAGCAAGTAACACAAACTAAGTGTTAAGTAAAAATGTCTACCGTGCTACAGGATATTGTTTATATTTGAGTGTCTGCTTATGAGAGAGAAACCGGACACTAGTGTTCAAGAATCACTCCTACATCCAACATCAGTCATGTGATTTGATGGATGGCCGCTGAGGTCAGAGGAGATTCGAGGCCGCTGCGAGAATATTTCAGCAAGTCCTCAAACGTGGCGTCGGTTTCTCGCTCGACATAAATGCGGATCAGTCAGAAATATATCAGGCAAGACAGATCCAGTATCGCATACGTGTCCATTCTCACATCAGACACTTACTGACCCACACCAGATAAAACTCAAGACATGATCCGAGCTGGATTCAATCGGATAGAAGCAAGGAGCAATAGTATATTAATAATAATAATAATATTGATGATGAAGTAATCCATTCTCAAAGATATCTCATTTTTGTTAGAAATGATCATACTGTAAAGTCACTCAAAAGCAACTCTAATTTGCGATCTCAGCAGAAATGTAAAGTTGATTTATTTTATAATGAAAGTTAAAAGTGCATTGTTCTTTTTTAATGGACATTCTGTCTATTCTAAGCAGTTTAGAGTCAGAAGTATTCTGATTGGCTGTCGCTGTTTTTATCGTTCATCAGCTGGAAAATTAATTCTGAAAGTGATTCCAACAATATTGTTGCTCTGTGTTATATCTTTACAGTTGTGGTTTGAACTTTGCTATTCTCATAAAATTAGAATGATTATTAAAACTTTATAATTATAGATATGAATGGCAATAGAGAGCCTAAGTCCCTCCCCTTCCGGTCGACCACCATGGGACCTTATTTCGGAAAAATATTGTATGGTAGTCAATTATTTTGATCTCGTTTGAATTGTGCCCTGAATTACACATGTGATGTTTGTCAATTTAAAAGATACATTTTAAAGTAAAGAAAGTCGCAGTTTGATGTGAAACCGTTGAGGTATAAGACTACAAACTACAAAAACTACAAACCCCAAAGGCGCACATTTTCTCTCAATGAATGAACCTAACTTTACTGAGGCTAACGTCTGTCATTGTTTCTATAGTCTTACGTTACAATCGTAACGTTACGCCGTCATACCTGAGTGTTTTGTACCAGACGAGCAGCGGATCTCGCTCGTTGTTTCGCTTCTGGGAGATGTAGTTCATTGAGCGATTTTCACATACAACTAAATGTTACTCTTTTGTTTTATGACAAACTGCGACGTTTTTGACTTTCAGAATTAGCTTTTAAATTGACAAACATCATGTGTAATTCAGGCCACAGTTCAGACGGAATACAAAGATAAGTTGTCTCTTGCCATTGACCACCACACATATTTTTTCCGAAATAAGGTCCCATGAGCCGGAAGCGGAGGGGCGGGACTTAGGCTCTCTATTAAAAATCCCCTATTATACCTTTTTAAATATTACCTTTCATACACTGTAATAAAGCTGTTTGTGAATGAAATTGTCTCCTAAAAGAAAAAAGAAAAAAACTCTGAACATCCTGAAACCAGTAGTCAGTACTTCCAGTCTCACTTTCTGCTCGAACCTAGGTAGGTGTTTAACAAATTTGCATAATGCCAGCCTATGATAGTCATTGTCTGCGGCGAACTGCTTCTACTTTGATCCTTAACACTGTAGTGGTAGCAAAGACTTGAAGAGTTTGGTTGGTGTTGTTCATGTCGAGAAGACATGAACAACTGGTGTGAGAGAAAATTCACTTTGATGCACTTCTAAAGGACGCCATCGCTACCGGTCACAAAAGACTGGGATATCTGACCAATCAGAGCAGAGGAAGCTCACAGAAAGGCGGGGTTTAGAAAGACTGAGTCTTTATTGAACCGTTTCGGACCGAAGCTGTAAAATTAAAGTGTTACAATGGATAAACCTATTATAGGAGACTCCAAAACAAAACTATGAACTTTTAAAATAGTATAATAGGGCCAAGTAAAAAATATTACATTTAAAATTCTCTTTTATACAGTAATAATTCATCTAATAATTGATCTGGACAGCAAATTGAGAGGTTGAGCATTCCCCGTCTCTGGTTTCTCGAACAACTTTGGGCCCTTGCCCTTAAATGTACACCTCATGCTTGAGCCCACTGGACACTAGGAATGTCCATTAACCCCGTTGAACCAGCAGAGCGTCTAAATCAAGATCCAGAGACTAAAGGGGAGGATTTGGGCCTGAGGGTCAGAGAACTCAATCTGAAACTGAAAACTCCCTACAGACCGTCTCACACACCTGTCTGTCTGTCTGTCGGTGATACTCGCTTGATTGAAGTCTTGTGTTTTTTGGTTGTAAGTCGATCTGAAAATTCAGGAGAGGATATTTCTCAGGACAAATCCTTCTGCAATTATCTGGGCGAGCTGAATGTTGTAGTTATCGAAACAGACTCGCCGCTTCATGTGAAGCCTTTTGGATCGTGTCCCTCCCTGCCCTCACTATATTACGAGCGGGTAAACACTTGGTTAAAAAAGTGGTCTGAAAGTTTCATTCACAAAAAAATGTCCCTATGTGTAGAAAAACACATGCACTCGGAAGTCAGAAGTTTTAGTTCCGCCTCTGTTGAGTCTCAGCTAGCTCTGATCTTGCGCTTGCTAAGGCTGTGCGTAGATTATGGGCAGGGGCGCATACTTTGAAAAGTGTTTTGAACTCACCAGAATGATATTTGCATTCACTTTCGTTACTTTTATCATGTTGGTGTAGTAGTATAGCCAATAGGCTGTCTTCTCAGGGCGCCAGTTCGCTCAGCCCCACAGTGCTGGAATTTAAGCCAATGGTTCCCCGGTTGCTATGCAAAAAAGTTTATATTTCGCCAATCAGCGTCGTCAAATTTTATGGTTTGGGGGCGCTGAAAATATCGCCCACAGTATCAGATTAGGGGAGTGCACCGTGCACGCGCACCACGGGAGATTTTTTTACCTCAGATGAGAGAAGAACGGCAGCGCCAGTGACGTCGAGTGGAAATAATGTAAAGTTAGTCGTGGGAATTGACCTGTCTGTCTCTGTCACTCACTCACTCACACACACATAAACACTGTTTCACACATTTGATATTAAAATAGTTATAGGAATATTAATACCTGTGTGTTTGCTTTGTTTTTTGATGTTTTTAAGTTCTGAGCTAGATTACTGTGTTTCATACTAGTTAAAATCAACTTTCTTCTCATACTTGGGTGTTACCCTCAAGAACGTTGTCCCACCCTCTCTTGCCTTTTCTCTCTCTCTTTCTCTAGTATCAACACATTGTTATCCATTATCCAATTGTCAATTTGTCAAAAATATGTAGTCTACAGCTGGGGATTGATTAAACTAGATTTTTGTATTACCTATTATTTTTTGTATTACCTATATTATAATTTATCAATATAATGCGTTTGCACTTTTTCTGTCAGCACACAGAGCATAATAAACATGCAACTTGTTCATTATCATTAACTGTCAAACTGTTATTATTATTATTGTATTATTTGACCATTGGTATTGACTGGTTTAAGTTATTTTATTGGTATAGGTAAGGGCATGGCCTAAGGCCTAAAATGCACCAGAATGCAGGAAATCACATCTACTAAATTCAAAATTTTCTGGGGGGGGGGACCCCCCAGACCCCCCTCTTATTCAGCCCCCCTTCAAATATTTTTCACCAGCCGCCACTGATTATGGGTCAACATAAAGCATCTACGGCTTGGATCTCGCGTTTCAGAGACAACCGAAGATTTCGATTAGCGACGATTACACCCCTCCGTGGGAAGACGGTTTCCACCTCATTATACGGTGCCCGTCACCCCTCGGTGCCCTCAGGGGGCCGTTCTGCTAACCCGCCTTCAAGCCGGGGGCACAGAGGCTTCCAGCAAGTTTTTACCCGAGAGTTGCTCGCTCTGTATTGTAAAAAATTGTATATAAATAAAGGTGACTTGACTTGAGGACCAGATTCTAATAGAAGATGCTCGTGTTTGAACTGATTTGGTTTATGGTAATATTTACTAGGGCTGGGTATTGACACAAATTTCACAATTCGATTTGATTTCGATTCTGATTCGATTCAATATCGATTATTTTGGGTATCAGTTACAATAAATGGCAAATTTTCTCAAGGAAATCAAACCTCTTAACTAATGCTGTAAACTATGGGAGTCTAGTTCTAGCTTACTAGGCTTCATTAGCCTAATATGAAGGTAATAATGAACATAAATGATAATACATTTACATTTTATTTATTTTTATAATAAGAAGATTATATGAAATATAAACATTTAAATGGTGGCTGTCATAAAAACTTGCCAGATTTATTCAAATATGCATTAAATATTGAAGAACATTAAGATTATAATGCATATGTAATATGGTGTGTATATTTAGCAAAATGCTCCTCTCTAGGGTTATTTTTTCTAGCTGACTAACGAGTTTATGTGGGTTTTCTGAGGTAAATATAACGATAACGATCATTTATGTTTTTGAATTTCTAAAGAAAATGGACATAATTTGAAATTTGAGACTTTGTTTTATATCAATAGTAACAAAGCACAAAGATTATTGTGATTTTTTTGGATGCGCGCAGCCGCGATACAATGTTCCATTCATTCAAATGAAAAAGGATGACTAATCGATTCTTGAGATTTAAGAATCGATATCGGTTCGTAAAAATGAGAATCGATTAATATCGAGAAATCGATATTTATTACCCAGCCCTAATATTTACATATACAGAATATTTTGTGTGTGTGTGTAACCAGCATGCACATCACATAAAAAATCGTACATGTGCTATGTATATGTGTCCCACAGAACCCAGAGTCCCTGGACTCGTATATCCAGAGCTGTCTGTCTGTCCTCTACCCACCGTTTGAGGTCACGGCCTCCACTGTCCTCAGCCAGCTCTTCCAGGTCATCGATGCTCGTTACCACGGAGACGCCCTCCAGTGTCTGACCGACTTCCTCATCCCTGCCAGGCATCTTCTGGAGAGAGTGCAGCAGTCGGCCTGTGTGAGTGTGGGGGGAAAATTTATATATATATATATAAGTGACCTTAGAAATTACAGTCGAACTAGTTACATACTAAAAACAGTGGCTAGATACAGGACCTACAGATTTTTTCTTCAAGTATGGGCAATGTAGAAACTTAAAAAATAAACTCTTGTGAAGGGATCCAATTGTGTGTGTTTTGTTTTTTTAGTGTGTAATGTTACAAAGTTATTCTCTATATCAGTGTCAGTGTTTCTGAACTCCCTGAAATTGTAGTCTCGAGTTTTTATCCGGGAACGAACACGTCACAATATTCCTCATTTAAATAATTCATACGCAGAATAAAGGGGCGGGGCCTGGTTGAGTTAGTTAGTAGTGTGTTGAAACTGGCGGTTATGGAAAGGGGCGGGACATTTCCCAAAGCACACTAAGTGCTTGACCAATCACAACACACTTATCCACCCGACCAATCAGAGCACAGTGTGCTTTTCAGAAGGAGGGGCTTCATAGAGACAGGAACTAAACAGAAATGTGCTTCTAACAAATGTCTGAAAGTTGTTAGAAGCACATAATCTGATATCATTCAGTCAGAGCTCAGCTAATACGAGAGGCTAATATCACTCCGATATCTTATTGAGATAAGTGTTTCAGACCACCGTTTCATTCTCTCGAGTGCAGCATCTGGGGTCAATCAATGTCCGTCTGCTCAGATGTTCTCCGGCAGTGATTATAGGACATGTCTTTGATATCAAGAGCGTCGCTCCATGCTGTTCACATAATGCACTGTCCTTCAGTCTGCTTCCACAGATATCATCTGAAGCCAGTGCCATGGGCTGCACTGCATAATTGTCAAATTAATAATCACTATCTATATTAGTAAAAGAAGAATGATCTTAATATAATTGGCTGTGATTATTTAACTCTTGGCCGTCAGCATTTAACATTGGAATGTGAACGCTTAAAAAGGATTTAAAATGATTAAAGCACTTACATGCGACATGTGGAGGAATATCAGCTGCACTGATAAGTCTTATTGCTTCATTATTTAGAAATCGAATGTTGTTTTCAAAATGCATGGAAATGCAAGCGTTGCATTGGCGCTAAAACTACTGTAGACGTTGGGAGTGAAGAATATCTATCTATCTATCTATCTATCTATCTATCTATCTATCTATCTATCTATCTATCTATCTATCTATCTATCTATCTATCTATCTATCTATCTATCTATCTATCTATCTATCTATCTATCTATCTATCTATATATCTATCTATCTATCTATCTATCTATCTATCTATCTATCTATCTAGTCAGTTTAATGTACCTTAAATTGATTGTACTTAATTTAAGGCTGCAGCTTTTTTTATTGGTGGTTTTTATTTAAAAAAAGTTTTATGACTTTATTTTAAATTCCGTTTAACTGCTTCCTTAGGATGCAGCATTCCAATTCGAATTTGAATTTGAATTTGAATATGTTTCCCGCCTAATTTCAAATTTAATTGCTAAAATTCCATTTGGAACTCTCTGTGTGTCCTGAACAGGCTCCGTACTCTCAGAGGGTGTTCAGCTGTGCCGGGTGGCCTCTGTGTTTAAAGGATCGCATCGTGATCCAGCTTGCTCCCGTTAACCCTTTGCTGCTCAGACCGGGAGACTTTTACCTGCAGGTTGTGCCGTCCGCGAACCAGGCCGCCCGCATCGTAGTCCAGAGTCTTTTAGAGGTGGAAACCTCAATCCCCGAGACCTCTTACCCCAGCATCTTCACTGAAGCCTGGCTTCGGGAGCTCAACGGCGGGAGACATGGAACGCCTTTGGCTCGCTGCGTCCTCAAAACCGAGCAGGGCATAGTCAAAGTTCCCTGGGAAGAGGTGGCCAACCCTAAATTCAAGGACAATCGGAGTATGGCCTCCTCGTCTCCGTCAAACCAACAGGAGTCTTTGAGTTCGTGCCGTCCACACACACCTACCCCTTCCAATTTCTCCGTGGAGACGAGGATTTGTCCTGCACGGGATGGTATAGCAGTGTCCTTGCGTTTGGTAGACAGCAGTAGTAGTTCGAGACACGCTGAAATGGATCCGTCTGGGACGCGTCCGGTGGGATGGGTGTCTCCAAACACATGGGACAGCCGAAGTAAGAGCAGTTTGGTAAGCAATTGCAATGCTCTAATGGACCTTACCAAAGAAACCCAAGGATATCCACAGACTCCTCTGCTGAGGTCTCGGGACCGAACCGCTTGTGTGCGCACCGTGAGGTTTGCAGAGGAACCCTGTACGCCGTGCATGCAGAGGAAACACGGGCAAGGGACCAAAGCGCAAAAATGTCGGTTTACGGAAGAACCCAAAGAAAGATCTGAGCGTCCAAATGAACTTGCTCAGGAAACTCCAGATCAGGGCAGCTCTTCAAAAACAGATTGGTTAGGACATTGCTCCAGCGGAGGGCGTGAGGAACAAACCCAGAACAATTCTCAGGACTGTTTTACTCCACCTGTGGTTGGGACGTCTGAGAAATGCCACATTGTTGTCCAAGGACAGACAAGTGAGGTGGACAGAAGCAGCTACTTAGAGATGATCCCAAAGCTGCATGTGGTTCCAGGGAAGAAAACCACCACTTTTGGGCTGGTGTCTCCGAAGATGAACAGAAGACGATTCGTTGTGACTCAAGGTTTGGATTATGTCGGTTTCTTCTAGGCGAGGAAAAGATCAAATATGTTCAATATGTTTAATTTAAAGACATGATATTACAGTCCTTATGATCATCATTTTAGAAGCAAAACAATCTCTTTGAACATGTTTTTAATGCATGTTGACTTATTCCTTTGAAGATCTCTCTCAGGACCCCAAAACTCTGAGCCCTCCTGTTACTGGACCGCGGGTAAATCATTCAGACGCCCCAGCGCAAGCTGAAACAGAGAGACCATCCAGATCATCAACTCCTACTTCACTTAAAGCGGATGGCCTTCTTCACTCAGGAACCGTGTGTCTAACTGGTAAAAAACACAAACATATATCATGCCAAATTAATGTAGTTGAGTATAATTTCTTTTGATCATGTAAATGCATTTTATGCCTTGGATGTGAAACTTTTTTGAAATGTGAAATTTTGAATGATTTGGTGGTGGAATCATTAAAATTAGTTCAAAATAATTAACTAATCAGTGATGCTTTGCATTAAATGCCATTATTTTCCAAATATTAGAATAAATCATCTTTGTAGAGAAAACATTTGATAAATATTTTTTATTTATAAATAATTGAAAAATTACTAATGTTTTGTCAATAATATTTTTTATAATAAATTGAGAAATTAATTAGCCTACATTTTAAATTAAAATAAAAAAATGTAAATTTTTAAATTATACATTTAAGTGTACAAATAAATCATTTAAAACCAACAAACTGTATATTTTTATTTTTACATTTATAAATACGTAAATAAATAATTATGTGTGTAATAAATAATAGTTTTCAGTAATTATTTGAATGAAACCTAAAAAATGCATTTAAAAAGAAAATAAATTTTAAATTATATTTTAATTAAAAAAATTAATAAATAAATGCGTTTATCATATATATATATATATAGGCTGGGCAACGATTAATTGCGATTAATCGCATCCAAAATAAAAGTTTGTGTTTATATAATATATGTGTGTTTTGTGTGTATAACCATTTTGTATATATAAATACATACACATGCATGTATATATTTAAGAAAAATGTGTTATTAATATATCATATATTTATATATAATATTAATTATGTATAAATATATATAAAGTATATACATGCAAATATTTCTTAAATATATACATGCATGTGTGTGTATTTATATATACAAAATAATTATACACACTACACACACATATATTATGTAAACAAAAACTTTTATTTTGGATGCGATTAATCTTTGCCCAGCGCTAATATTAATATATATATATATATATATATATATATATGAACTTTTAAATAAATAAAATTGTATAATGTTTTATAGATGTTCATATAATGTTAATGTAATGTTCACAATGCAGGTTGTGATTTATATTGGAATTGAATATTTTATATACTCCGCAATGCAAATGAAAACAGATGATCTGAGAGTATAAACTGCAGTCATGAAAGCATTACCACTGTCAGGCCAGTGCTGTCACATCTCACCTCGTCTGCCTCCTTCAGGTGGACTGGACCGCTCCGGTCGAGCAGTTCTGGAGATTTATGGAGATCATCAGGTCTGGACTTCTGCACACATCTCAAGTCTGGAGATCTGCAAACTCCTGCTGTACTTCCACTCCATCACCCGGTACAACAGCACTCACACGAGCACAGGCGCATGAAGAACTACATTCAATAGCAATAGCAAACTTTCAAACATTTCGTGGTACTTTGGAATATTGTGTAAAATAAATGTTTTCAGCAAATATAATTAGCTATCATTAAATTGCATGCTTTATATCAGCCAGCAGTTTGAATGCTACCTTGTGTTTTGTAGGAAAGAGAGGAGCGATGCAGGGATGACGCTGGTGTTTGATGCGCGGAAGAAGTCGCCACATCCAGAGTTTGCCAAAGCTCTCCTGATGGTCCAGGTGGCTGTGTGTTTTTTAGCTTGAGAACATTTCTAAATAAATATTTCAGCACTAAATCTTGAGTGTTGTCCACAGGAACAGGATCCTCATGCTGTGCACCGGGTTCTTCTGCTGGTGAAGAAGGACACTCTCCACAGTCATGAGAAAAGGCCCGGCGTTACGGTCAGAGAGTTACACACACCTGGCTTCAGTGCTTCTCTTTATAATGTAGTTGTGATTATTTCTAACAGACTTTGCTCTTCTCAACGCTCTGCAGGTAGAAACACTGACGTCATTTAAGGCTCTATATAAAATAGTGGACGTCAGTCAGATAACTGCGGCTCTACACGGGTCATTACCGTACAATCACTGCGACTGGATACTAATACATCAGGTACATTATTGTGTAGCCAGCTCGATTCCTACCAGCATTATTGATAATGTATTAATTTAATAATAATATTTAGGATTATTATTATTATATTTTATTAGTATTTTATACACATAATATTATAATAGATAATATAAAATATTGAATATAATATTAATATGAAATTATATTTAAATTAATAATATATTAAAATTAATAATAATAATAATATTGCATTGTATTTACATTATCAGTTATAATTGTATACAAATATATTTAATATAATATTATAATTTAAATTATATTGTATTATTTTAAATTAAATAATATTTTAATTTTTATCATATAATATTTAGATTATTTTTTATATTTTAATTAATTTAATTTTAATTTATTGTTTTATATTTCAATTTTATAAATGTTTTATTATATCAATTGTAATATTTAAAATAATATTACAATTCATATTATTATATTAAATGATATTTAAAAAGTATATTGTAATATGCATTATATATTATTTTATTATTTTATTTATATCCATTATATATACATATATAACACAATATATTGATACATTATTTAAAAAAAATTAATAATTATTATTATTACAACTACTATTAAATTATATATTTATATTCATTATTATTTGCATATATAACATTATATTATATAATATAATATATTAAAATGATTATTATTATAATGTCAAATATAATTATAATATATTAACATTATTATATTAAAATACATTATATTTAAAAAAATATATGTATTATTTATGGTTATTAGTACGTATGAATTATTATGTAATATTATATTTATAATAGTATTATATTAAATTATGAAATTATTATAATATTATGATTGTATATTTATTAATGATTAACATTATTCTTTTTTTTAATATATATAAATTATCTATTTTACTTTAAAGTTTCTCTAACCTTTCATATCTGTACAAACATGCGCCACTTTTTATCCTACAGAAGCTGTATCCATTCGTGTCAGACCTACAAGAGGCGTCCGCTTTGCTATCAGGAGCAATAAAGAAACTGGAAGGTGTTCATAAAATCGACACAGTGCAGGCAAGGGAAACATTTTTATCTGCTCTCATCCTGTCATAAACTGACTGCATCCAAACAAAACGTGTCCACAAAAAAAAGCATGCTGTTCTTACTTAAGGATGACACACAGACCTCTGTGAATGTGTACAAATTGTTGTGTGGAAATCAGGATGTGCATCAGTGCATCGAGGAGCAGCGAGCTCTAATGAAGGAAGTGCTGGAAGACACGCGATTGGTCGGCTTGCAGAGGGGAGGCGGAGCCATGCTGGCCAGGCTGAGGCTGGAAACTGATGTGAGGTCGCCACACTGTGAACAGAGCTGGTAAAAACACACACTTCACTCTCAAACGCATGGAAGCTTGTTTCCACCACAGAAGGAAAAACTGAAAAGATAATTGCGACTTTATATCTCACAATTCTGACCTTTATCCCAGAATTGTGTGTTATAAAGTCACAATTGTGTGATATAAAGTCACAATTATGTGATATAAAGTCACAATTGCATGATATAAAGTCACAATTGCATGATATAAAGTCACAATTGTGTGATATAAAGTCACAATTGTGTGATATAAAGCCAGAATTGTGTGATAAAGTCAGAATTGCGTAATACAAATTCACAAATGCGTGATATAAAGTCGCAAATTCGCAATTGTGTGATATAAAGTTAATATAAAAATTAACTTAATTCAATAATAAACTTGAAATTCAGATGGGAATTGCATGCTTATATCTCACAATTCTGACTTTATAACACACTTTATAAAATCAGACTTGCATGATATAATTTGTCTTTATAAAATCAGAATTGCATGATATAAAGTCACAATTGCGTGTTATAAAATCAGAATTGCGATATAATTGGACTTAATAACTAGCAATTGCAAGTTTATATCTCACAATTCTGAGAAAATGTCCAAACTATGAGATATAACCTCACACTTCTGAAATAAAAAGTCACAAATATCTTTTAAAATGTTATATTCTGTGGCGGAAAAAACGCTTCCATATAAACTTGAGCAAGATTAATGACTAAGCAATTAAACTACAATAGTGTATTCCAATATCACTTCAAAGTGGTGGAAAAACACATTCTACTGATCCTGCATATAGTTTTAAAGATGGAGTAAATCATGTTTTGCCGCAGCGAGGTGATTGACACCGTCACACACCTGTACAACGCCATGGAGGAGCAGGTGCATGTTCTGGCCAGGAAGTCCAATGTGTCCCTGCAGCGCCTGGACTTCCTGTCACAGCTCCGAGAGATGGAGTCCAGGTTTGCACAGGTACCATCAGACAGCTGCTCACAAAACACTAACTAGAAGGTTTTAGCACTACGGTAAGGCCACAATATACAGTACACTACCATTCAAAAGTTTCGATTTTTAATTATGAAATTATGAATTATGAATTAATTATTTGATTTAAAATTTAAAAAATGATGTAATAACAGTATTATTGTAAATCTTTAAAATAACTGTTTTCTATGTGAATATACTGTAAAATGCAATTTAGCATCATTTCAGCATCATTACTCCAGTCTTCAGAGTCACATGATCCTTCACAAATCACTCTAATATGAGGATTTGACGCTCGAGAAACATTTCTGATTATTATCAATGTTGAAAACAGTTGTGCCGCTTCATATTTTTATGGATTCTTTGATTAATAGAAATTTTTGTCTTTACTGCATTCCTGCTGAATAAAGGTGTTAATAAAAAAGACTTTTGAACAATAGTGTACATTGGTCTTCTGCATGTGGAGTAGTTCGATGTGTAGTTCAGTAAGTGTGTCTGTGTGTAGATGAAGGAATGGTTGGACACAGAAGGAGAAACGCAGCTCCTGCAAGCCGAATCTGTGGACGACTCCAGTGAACGGATCCAACACACGCTGCATAGTTTCCAAGCTTTTCTCTCCGAAGCAAACGTAAGTGAAAGTTGAGAAACTTAAACCTGAGCTGCTGCTGAAGGGACTTCATTGAGGGATTCAACTCAATCTTTTCTCGTGTTGTGCATGTTTCATTAACCCAGCTAACAAACATATGTTAAAGGGTTAGTTCACCCAAAAATGAAAATAAAGTCATTAATTACTCACCCCCATGCTGTACCAACCGCGTAAGACCTTCGTTCGTCTTCGGAACACAAATGAAGATATTTTTGATTAAATTTGAGATGTGGATCACTGCTACTAAGGGATCGAAACTTGACGGCCCAGAAAGTCAATGAAGAAAATGTTTAAATATTCCATGTGACTACAGCGGCTCAAGTATAAGTTTATCAAGCGACGAGAATACTTTTTGTGCGAAAAAACAAACAAAAATAACGACTTTATTCGACTATTCGTTTTCTTCCTTGTAGGCCTGAGACGAGAGTTCAAGAGATTTCCACGAGAACTGCGATCTCCTTCAACTACTTCAGTTCAGTTCTCGCGCATGCGTCGTGGAAATCTCTTGAATTCTCGTTTAAATAATAATACAATTAAATTTAATTGATTTTAATTGAATACAATTAAATAATAATTGCGACTAATTTAATTAATAATTTAATTGAATACAATTAAATAATATATGCGACTTATCTCACAATTCAGGCTTTCCCCCCTGACAATTCCAAGTTAGAAACTCAAATTTAATTTTTATTTTATTTTTATTTCAGTTCTCGTGTAAATCTCTTGAACTCTCGTCTCAGGACTACAAGGAAGAAAACGAATAGTTATTTTTGTTTGTTTTTCCGCACAAAAAGTATTCTCGTCGCTTGATAAACTTATAGTTGAGTGGCTCAGTTATAGTCATAGTTGAGCCACTGTTGAACCCATGTAGAACCTTTTCTTCTGAGAGTGTGTGAAGCTGTTTAACAGTGTGTATCTGTTGAAATATCAGGAGCGTACGCATCAGGCGATGATGCTGGTGTCCGACGCGGAGAGAGTGCAGGGGCCGAACTATCCCGAGACCGAGGTGTTTCACAGGACGGTGTCCACGTTTAAATCCAGCCTGGCGGAGTTTGTGTCGCGGGCCGAGCGCTGCCGTGAGGAGATGGGGATGATGGTGTACGTCTGCCACTTCTGCGAGAGGGTGCGTCTGACGCTTTCATTCATTTCTTGAAACCAAGAAAACCAAAATATTCATATAGCTTATTAAAATCAATTCCAGTTAGCTTGAACCATGATTCTTTAAAGGCCATATTTTTTGTATGTCCAGATTTTGTTCAGATTGATTTGAGTCAGGACAGCGAAAAAAAAAAAAAAAAAAAAAATGAAATTGGAGGTGAATTAAAATCTGATTTTTACAGATGCACCTCAGTCTGGATGCTCTGGCTGCTCAAATCAGTTTTCAAATAGTCTTTTGAGTCACTCTTCTTAACATGATACACAATGATAACATCAAAACCAGTGATGGAAACACCACACCCCTCGCTACTAATTCACTATTAGTTTCCCCCTTTATTGAATAAAATGTTTTTAATTTTTTTTAACTGGCCTCTGACGTTCTAAATTAAATCATAGAACAAAATAAATCTTTAAAAATGTTAAGACAGTATATGAAAGTATGGAAGCTTGTTTCCGCCACAGAATGAAATATAAAAAAAGGTAATTGTGACTTTTTATCTCACAATTCTGACTTTATTTCTCAGAATTGTGAGACATAAAGTCAGAATTGTGTGATATAAAGTCAGAATTGTGAGATATAAAGTCAGAATTGTGATATAAAGTCAGAATTGCGAGATATAAAGTCGGAATTGCGAGATATAAAGTCGGAATTGCGAGATATAAAGTCGGAATTGTGAGATATAAAGTCAGAATTGCGAGATATAAAGTCGCAATTGCAAGATATAAAGTCAGAATTGCGAGATATAAAGTCAGAATTGCGAGATATAAAGTCAGAATTGCGAGATATAAAGTCAGAATTGCGAGATATAAAGTCAGAATTGCGAGATATAAAGTCAGAATTGCGAGATATAAAGTCAGAATTGCGAGATATAAAGTCAGAATTGCGAGATATAAAGTCAGAAATGCGAGATATAAAGTCAGAATTGCGAGATATAGTCAGAATTGCGAGATATAAAGTCAGAATTGCGAGATATAAAGTCAGAATTGCGAGATATAAAGTCAGAATTGCGAGATATAAAGTCAGAATTGCGAGATATAAAGTCAGAAATGTGAGATATAAAGTCAGAATTGCGAGATATAAAGTCAGAAATGTGAGATATAAAGTCAGAATTGCGAGATATAAAGTCAGAATTGCGAGATATAAAGTCAGAATTGCGAGATATAAAGTCAGAATTGCGAGATATAAAGTCAGAATTGCGAGATATAAAGTCAGAATTGTGAGATATAAAGTCAGAATTGCGAGATATAAAGTCAGAATTGCGAGATATAAAGTCAGAATTGTGAGATATAAAGTCAGAATTGTGAGATATAAAGTCAGAATTGCGAGATATAAAGTCAGAATTGCGAGATATAAAGTCAGAATTGCGAGATATAAAGTCAGAATTGCGAGATATAAAGTCAGAATTGCGAGATATAAAGTCAGAATTGCGAGATATAAAGTCAGAATTGCGAGATATAAAGTCAGAAATGTGAGATATAAAGTCAGAATTGCGAGATATAAAGTCAGAAATGTGAGATATAAAGTCAGAATTGCGAGATATAAAGTCAGAATTGCGAGATATAAAGTCAGAATTGCGAGATATAAAGTCAGAATTGTGAGATATAAAGTCAGAATTGCGAGATATAAAGTCAGAATTGCGAGATATAAAGTCAGAATTGCGAGATATAAAGTCAGAATTGCGAGATATAAAGTCAGAATTGTGAGATATAAAGTCAGAATTGCGAGATATAAAGTCAGAATTGCGAGATATAAAGTCAGAATTGCGAGATATAAAGTCAGAATTGCGAGATATAAAGTCAGAATTGCGAGATATAAAGTCAAAATTGCGAGATATAAAGTCAGAATTGCGAGATATAAAGTCAGAATTGCGAGATATAAAGTCAGAATTGCGAGATATAAAGTCAGAATTGCGAGATATAAAGTCAGAAATGTGAGATATAAAGTCAGAATTGCGAGATATAAAGTCAGAATTGCGAGATATAAAGTCAGAATTGTGAGATATAAAGTCAGAATTGTGATATAAAGTCAGAATTGCGAGATATAAAGTCAGAATTGCGAGATATAAAGTCGCAATTGCAAGATATAAAGTCAGAATTGCGAGATATAAAGTCAGAATTGCGAGATATAAAGTCAGAATTGCGAGATATAAAGTCAGAATTGCGAGATATAAAGTCAGAATTGCGAGATATAAAGTCAGAATTGCGAGATATAAAGTCAGAATTGCGAGATATAAAGTCAGAATTGCGAGATATAAAGTCAGAATTGCGAGATATAAAGTCAGAATTGTGAGATATAAAGTCAGAATTGCGAGATATAAAGTCAGAATTGCGAGATATAAAGTCAGAATTGCGAGATATAAAGTCAGAAATGCGAGATATAAAGTCAGAAATGTGATATTGTGAAACAAAGATATTTTGGTTACACTATTTTACACTAATGTAACATGCATAAATATAACTAACCCTCAACCAAACCCTAATCCTACCCTAACCCCTAACCCCCCACCTCTAAAAAACATGACCTACTGGGTCTTCTCTCTCAGGCTTCAGCCGTGGCCAGCGACTGCATGAGGTTTTTGGATCAGGATCAATATTGCGGTTCCCCAGATGAGGAGAGCTGGACCCGTCTTCACGCTCACCTGCAGAGGTTGGACGAGTTTTCTCCCGAGCACTTCCAGGACGTGAGAGCACAGGCGTGCTCCAGCTCCAGGGCTCTGCGGGTGTGGGACGCCGCCTGGATCCACTGCCAGGACGTCCAGCGCCGGCTGGAGGAGAGACTGGCTCTTCTGGAAGGATCTCCGACACCCGCTGGACGAGGCTCGGACTGGCCGGAGAAGATTCCAGGTGAGGATTCAGGAGCGTCTGTAAGATGATATGGACGCTTGATTATGGCCTGGAATAAAAAAATTAAATAATAATTGCAACTGATTAATAATAATTGCATTGATTATTTGTTTTTGTTTTTATGCAACAGAATATTTTGTTGTTTTTGTTGAATTAATTTAAAGTTATTATCCGCCACAGAATCTCACAATTCAGGCTTTTTGACCCTCGTAATTGTTCATATCTTGCAATTTTGAATTTTTTTCCTTCCACAGAAGATTAAAAGATAATTGCAAATTTCTGACTTTTCTTGCAAGACTTTTTCTCAGAATGATGAGTTCATATCACACTATTCTGTTTTCTGATTTTTTTTTGTCTGCCACAAAATACAAATAAAACCATTACAAAAAATTACAAATTATTTCATAATTACGGCTTTCTTTCCCTCTCAAAATTTTGAATTTATACTTTACAATTCTGATTCTTTGAATTTATACTTTACAATTCTATAGATCTCACAATTCTGTTGAGTTGTTTCTGCCACAAAAAAAGTAATTAAAAAAATAAGTAATTGAAACTCTCACAATTCTGAATTTTTCTCTTGCAATTACCTTTTTTATTTTTTATTCCATAGCGGAAGCTTCCATATTTGTATATGCATTGTACTTGTTCTAATATTTGTAAATTGCTTTATTGTTCTTATTTTCAATAACAAAAATAACTATATTGTGATGCATCGAATTTCTAAGTTTTTGGTCTTATCGCCCACCCAGCACAAGATGAGCAGGAGCTTGTGCCCGATCCGTCAGAGAGCAGGGCGAGTCGATCGAGAGACAGCATGCACACCACCGTCACCTGCTTCAACTTCAGAACCAACCACAAAACCCGGAGAGAGTCCAAAACCGCACAGAGCGCCAAGGAAAACCCGGCAGACTGCGGGCCGAGAGGCAGAAGCGCCGGCAGAAGAGCTTCCCAGGACCAGAAGCCGGTCGCAGGCTCGGGTACGGTGGGCTGTCAGTGGTTCCCTTGGCAGCCGGCGGCGAACAGAAACACCAAGAGACCTGAGCTCCACATCACTGAGCCCATCTTCTCACAGGACCAGGAGTACGGGAACCCTCGTCGCGGCAGCTTCGGCTCTCAGACGGCCCGTGGAGAGACCGGCTGGAGAACCGATGGACAAACCACTGCATCCAGCCCAGACAGCCCAAACAGAACCATGTGAGTTAAGACAACATGGAATTAACATTCATACGGTTTACTTGGTAACAGTTTACAATAAGATTTCCGGTCTAATTGAAAAAAAAATCATCAGTGCGAGTTGTTCTAAAAATGTAGATTTTTATATTCTTTAATTAAAATGTAATAATTTTCTCTGCCTTTGAAAAAACTTCTCTTTTTCTCCAAACTTTTAAACATTAGTGTATAACAGGGGGGAAAAAAAATCTCAATATTTTTCATTTGCTATGTCTTTCTCTGTCCAAAAGCTTTCACTGATGTCAGAAAGGTAAAGTTACGGACAAATATAGGATTATAAAAGTGACAACACCGAGTTGTTTTAGATTGTACAACTGGAAACCATAATTGTTATTCGAATGGTAAACAAGATTTTACTATTATTTACATGCCATGTTTAAATAGTGTCATTGTGATTGTGACCATTTAAAATAGCTATAGTATTACCATGGTGAAATGTGCAAAAAAATCATGGTAATATAAAGATATTTTGGATTTGTATTATTTTAGAAATCTATCGTTATCTTTATTTCCCGTCAGGAAGCTTCACCGTGTCATGGAGGAGCTCCTGCTGACGGAGGTGGAGTACGTCCGCTCTCTGGGATACATCTTGACTCATTACGTCCCCCTGTTGGCCAGACCCGACGTCCCGCAGGATTTGCGCGGTCAGCGCGGACGAATCTTCGGAAACCTGGAGAAACTGTACGACTTCCACTGCCAGCACTTCCAGCAGGAACTGGAGTCCTGTCAGGCAGAACCACTGCGAGTCGGACGCTGCTTCCTAAACCACGTAAGACAACAGTTTCATCATCACAGTCTTTCACTTCTTACAGCTTACAGAATATCGTTTTGACCTTCTACAAAAATCTATTTAAACAGACAGAGAGTTTTGGACTTTACGCACTTTACAGCAAGAACAAACCCCAGTCTGATGCGCTCATTCAACATCATAGATACTTCAAGGTGAGGAACCTACAATTGGTTATACATAAATTCAACAATATATACAAATATTTTTTTACATTATAAACCTCTTTGCTGTCACTTTTAAAAAAATTTATGCATCCTTGCTGAATAAAAGTATCAATTTCTTTACAAAAAATATCCTGATACTGATATGAAATTAAACTTCTTCCCCTTCCCGTCTAGCGTAAGCAGATGGAGTTGGGTGACAGCATGGATCTGTCCTCATACCTGCTGAAGCCCGTCCAGAGGATCAGTAAATACAGCCTCCTGCTGCAGGAGATCCTGGACGAATGTGTGCCGGATCAGAGCGGAGAACAAGAGGAGATCCGGGCGGCTCTAGA